CAGCTCGGTGGGGCAAAGGGAGAGAAAGTGGTCCCTGACTGAAGAGAGGGAGTCAGGGAGGCGGGTGACTAGGTAGTAAAGGGTGATGTACATGGGGGGGGGGTTCTTGGCACAGAACTCAGTGGGAAGGGCAGCGCGGTAGCGGGCGTCACTAGCGCGAAGGTGAGCAACTAGGTCAGCGACAGTGGCAAAGGCAGCAAGGTCAGGGAAAAGGTGCGGCAGCATGAGGCGGCTGAGGGCAGCAGTGGCAGGGGAGGAGTAGCGTGCAACTACAGCGTCGTACAAAGGCTGGGCAGTCTTGTACTGGCCAAAGTGCGCGCGCTCAGCAGGCGGCAGGTGACTACGAACAGCAAGACGAGCAACATCGTCACGAGTGGTCCACTGCGAGCGAACAGTACTGTCAGAAATGGCAGCAGGAGCAGTGGAAACACCCGACGTGTGATCGAAAAGGGATACCCCATCCCTAGAATCACACTGAAGAAAGAGCTATGGGTCGTCAACCCACACGTCAAAATCAACTGCACGTCCCTCAGCATCAAAGGTGAGAATAGTCGGACTAGCCATAGCAGCAGTAGGAGCAGTAGCAAGAGTAGTGGCAGTAGCAGCAGTAGCGCAAGTCATTGCTGGGCGGCGCGGCTCGGCTGGGCGGCGCGGCTCTGCTGGGCGGCGCGGCTCGGCTGGGCGGCGCGGCTCGGCTGGGTGGCACGGCTCGGCTTACCAGAAACGGGTGCAGGGCGGGCCGGGACTGTAGGGGGGGGCGCCAGTAGGGGCCGGCAGAGGCGCGCCTGCAGGGGACGCGCCAGCAGGGGCCGGCAGGGGCTCGTTTGCAGGGGCCGGCAGGGGCGCGCCAGCAGGGGCCGCGCCAGCAGGGACCGGCAGGGGCCGGCAGAGGCTCGTTTGCAGGGGCCGGCAGGGGCTCGGTTGCAGGGGCCGGTAGGGGCGCGTTAGCGGGGCGCGTCGGCAGAGGTGCGCACCAGCAGAGGGCCGGAAGGGGGGGGCCGCGAAGAGCCGTCGAAGAGGGCCGCTAAGGGCCGCGAGGGGGCCGCGAAGGGCCGCGAAGGGGCCTCGAAGGGCCGCGCAAGGGGCCGCGAAGGGCCGTGAAGGGGCCGCGAAGGACCGCGAGGGGCCGCGAAGGGCCGCGAAAGGGCCTCGAAGGGCCGCGCAAGGGGCCGCGAAGGGCAGTGAGGGGCCGCGAAGGGCCGCGAACAGGGGCCGCGAAGGGCTGCGAAGGGGGGGCCGCGAAGGGCCGTGAGGGGCCGCGAAGGGCCGCTAAAGGGGCCGCGAAGGGCCGCGAAGGGGGGCCGCAAAGGGGCGCTAAGGGGCCGCGAAGGCCGCGAGGGGCCTCGAAGGGCCGCGAAGGGCCGCGCACGGGGCGCTGCTAGGACAAACGCGAAACGCGCTTCGGGCAGGTAAGGAAAAAAAGTTTCTTAGTGGTGGGCCCTAAAAAAACAGTTCCACTAGGGAACCTGCTCTATACCATGTGAGAATAATGAGAGGAATGAATGAACTAGGAAACAGGTGGGGTACAAGTAGCAAACACAAAAGTGTTGTACCCTCTAAGGACTACCCCACTACAGCCTAAACAGACTATAGCATATATAAGTTTGACATCCGTCTGCTGCTGGACGATGGCCATTGGGAGGATGTCGTAATGGAGCTCGGAGGGGTCCATTGGGAAACTTGGAACATCTCCAGTCTTGTGTCAGAGTTCCGAAAATCGCCCCAGAGAGAAACGTAGGAGCTGCTAGGTAACATGGCAGAAGAGTGTTAGCTGCTGTAAGTGTTACCAGTAAAAACATGGTGACTATGGAAATTGCAGGAGTGCGTGGAGGAGACGGATCGAAGACAGGAAGACGTTGTCGAATTAAGGAAATTTCATCCATCTGTATGTCTTCAGCAGAATTTTCCTGAGCTGGAATTGGAAATTGACTTCCTTGCAAGTCATTTTATGTTGCAATAGAGAAGACCGTGGCTGCTACGGGTGAAGCTGAGACTGCTGCAAAACTGCTGAACATGGTGGCAGCTGCTGGAAATGTTTCTTGGAGCTCGGTGGCTGCTGGAGGTGTTTCTTCAACCTGAAGACTACTAAACTGTAAGAGGAGTACGCCATTGTGAGGAATGGCTTTCCCCAATAGTAGTTGTCCTTTGCTGAGTAAAAACTCATGGCTGTTGATATCTCCTTGCAGATGAATCTTTTTTGCCAGCAACTGAGAAGCTGAAAGGAGATTGAAGGCCAAGCCTTCAACCAGAAGAATATTAGTAACTTCAAGGATAATACCAGTTGAAGTAGATTTCTGCAGTATGTTGTCAGTGGAATGAGCAATTAACTCTGTGTTATTTGCTATTGTAATGATGCAGGGGCGCTGAAGTGGCTGATGGTTGAAGATGAAAGGATTGTCTGCTCCACACATGTGTTGTCCACAGCAGGAATCAAGAAACCATGAATCTGCAGGTATGGTTGAACTGTGTGGGAAAATATTAGTGCAGTTGCTTGAGCTGTCAGGTTTGGTTTGCAGCATAGTCATGCAACTAACCACACTGCGGTTTGTCTTTGCAGAAACTGCAGTTGGTGGTGGTGGTTGTTGAGACTGTTGCACTTGTGTCTGAAGTTGCTGGAGTTGCTGCTGTACTTGCTGAAGTTGCTGGTGAAGCGTTGGAGTCTGAAGTGGTGACTGTGACTCAGTCTGAATCTTGAAGCGACAAGTTGATGAGGTATGCCCAGGTTTCTTGCAGTTGTCGCAAAATATCCTTTGTTGTCGATTGTTGCTGTAGAAACTTGTAATTTCTGATGGTGGATTTCTTGATTGGTGCAGGTCCAAGTCATTTTGCTCCGCCAGAAGAGCCGCACAAAGAGCTTCTTCAGATAAGTCCCCTTGCATTCGGAGAACTGTTCGGCATTATCTCCATTCCGGTCCTAGACCCACAAGTAGCACTGTAATAAACATCTCTTTAGGAAAGTAGTCGTTGCATTTCAGCAGTTGATCCCTTCAATTTCTTCTCCTGTTGATGTATGTTGACGCTTTCTCGCCTGGCTGCATCTGGATGTTGGCGAGCTGGGATAAAATCTTGCTTTGAGAAATTGCATCTCTCCCCATGTATAGGTTTTGCAGGTAACTCCAGGCGGCTTCAGCAGGTGAGTTGCCGGTGTTAAACGATCGGATGCCCAGCTGCTCCATGGCTGTCAAGTTGCGAATCGAAATAGTATATGCTGTTAGTGACTCACTCGTGAATCTCTGCTGTTGCATTGGTGTGTCGTTGGCAGGAAATGGTGAAGAACCATCGAAGAGGTGCCATATGCCAGCAGCCTTCACAAGAAGCTCGAATTCAAAACTCCCGGTATAGAAATCCTTGTCGTCAAATAGTGTTGTCATCTTGATTTTGGTCACTTTGACGAAGCTCATAGCAGTTTGCTGATGTGCTTGTTGATGGTCTTGTGCGAGTACACCATTATTGACTGCTGCTGCAGCCATTGTTGTATGTTGGAAGCATAGTTAAGAGTTTTCTTAATCCAAAACTGCTCTCATACCATGATGGAATGGGTTGGAAACCCGTAGAATTGGTTAAGGGACGAAGCCCTTTTCAGGATCGTAGTATCTTGGATTAAAAACTAAGTATTGGCAGTGGAAGACTTGTATGAGTTTAAAGCCAGTGTAGGAGGCTTCGTCTGGACTAATGTAAGCCCATGTAGTGATATGTTTCAGGATCTATGTATCTGAAACCAGATATATTATAAAATGACAAGCATACAAAATATATAGCTAGAGTAAAGTACCTGTTCGTATACTGTAGCCGAATGTACCTATTCGTCACTCTAGGGGTGTTGACCTGTAGACACTAATGAAAGTGGCTGTTTGTTGACCTAGGCCTAGAGGTACTTTGACTAGTCAGCTGAATCCGAATGCTGACGTCATCAAGTTCGGGACCCACTATTGTACTGTTTCACTGCTGTATAGTCTAACTGCGAATTTCAGAAATGCTAAGAAACCTATATCTCTCAACAATACTAACTTATGTCGATATTCAAATCTCCTTCTGACAAGGTCCGTACCCGACTTCACTAGCAATATTTTGCTGCTACACTACGTGCGATCAACCTGAGACGATTCTATAAACCAACATTTCACATTGTAACACGATGTATGGAATATAGAAACACAACATAACACTGAAAATGTTTGCTGAAAGTTCTATACAATTTGCATTGACTTCATAGCCACTCTTTAATACTGCTATTAGTTCATGCGATCTGTAACGAGCTATGATACTATTTCAGCATTGCGCTTCGGCCTTCGACTTTTGAAAACTGAAATTCGTGCGCTCCAGCGCAATGGGACGCTCCAGAATACCAGTACTCGCAGAAAAACCTTCGGAGGCCAAAAATCGCAACTTCCTTTTTTCGCGATGTTGGTGTGAAGTATTGCCGCCGCCATTTAAAGCAAGCGCTGAGTGTCGTCTCACTCATTCACCATCTGGGACCTTCCGAGAGATTGGCAGCGCCTGGCTGCTTCTATTTATTCCGCACTCGTGGCACGCACGATCGCCGTACGTTGACGGATAGGCAGGTGTGCGACAGCGTCGGATAAGCACGTAGGCGACGCCTCAGATAGGTAGGCGGGCGACGACGTCGCAAAGGCAGTTGGGTGACGATGTCGAATAAGCATGTAGACGATTACTTCGGATAGGCAGGGTGAGAACGTCGGGGTTCGAGGGTGGTAGGAGCGGCAGGGTGTGGGTGATCCCATGAGTGATGCGTTGTCGCATTGTTATGCCATTCTCTATCGCACTCATGTTCATCTATCGATCTCCTGTACACCTTTCGCCCTCCCTTCTGCGACGGTCAGATTGGCGCTGCGCTCTTCGACATCCCCCACTGCCATGGCTGGGCGCCGCTCTCAGGTAGGCTGGGCGCCGAAACATGGCCGAAGCTGCTCTCCATCCGTGCCGAGGGGTGCGTTGAAACATGGCTCGCCGCGGTGCGTGCAGCATGCGCTCGTGCCCCAATGCCACCATGCGTGCCCCAATGCCGCCATGCGTGCCCCAATGCCGCCATGCGTGCCCCAATGCTGCCATGCGTCTCCCAATGCCACACTCCCGGCCCACGTGTGTGTTGGCAGGAGGGGCAGGGAGCGGAGGCGGGGCAGGAGGTGCTGGCGGAGCAGGCGGGGCGGCAGGCGGGGTTGGCGGGGCAGGAGGCTGCGGAGGCGGTGAGGAGCAACGAGGGCTACGTGGCGTTGGCGTGGGCCAGACGCACCGAGGCGCGCGGCGGGTGGTGGGACGGGCGACACATGACGCAGCTCGTGGCGGCGGCCGGTGCGGACGGGCGCACTGGACGGCCCGCGCAGGGCACCTGCTCGGGAAAAGATGCGCTCGGGGCGGGGGAGGCAGAGGGAAAGGACGCGGCGAGGGGCAAGGTGGCAGGGAGGAAGGCGAGCGGCATCTCGATGCTGCCGCCGGTGACGGCCCTGCCCCGCTACACTGCCTGGCGCGTTGCCTCCCAGTGAGTCCGCCGCGAGTGAGTCCGCCGCGAGTGAGTCCGCAGCGAGTGAGCCGGTGCCGAGTGAGTCCGCAGCGAGTGAGCCGGTGGCGAGTGAGTCCGCAGCGAGTGAGCCGGTGGCGAGTGAGTCCGCAGCGAGTGAGCCGGTGGCGAGTGAGTCCGCAGCGAGTGAGCCGGTGGCGAGTGAGACGGCAGCGAGTGAGACGGTAGCGAGTGAGTCGGCAGCGAGTGTGTCGGCAGCGAGTGAGTCGGCAGCGAGTGAGTCGGCAATATCAGCCGCATTTCCGCCTCAGTGCTTTATGTGCGTGCCAGTATCTCTGTTGTTTCATTCCGTTTGTGTGTACGCATGTGATTTTGTGCGTGCATGCGTGCATGCGTAGGCGAGGACGAGGGGACGGACAGGAGGGCCACGGCCACCACCAGCCATAGAGGGGCCTCGTGTGCTCCCGAGGAGCTCCCTTTCAGGTGCCCACCACTCATCTCATTCTCTCACTCTCTCCCATTGCCAAGCTGACCTCGCTTACAGTCCCACATTTCCTTCCTCGCTAATATCAGTAGCAACTCATCTCCCGTTGCTCATTCCCGATGCCCATTCCCCATTGCCCATTCCCCGTGGTCCATTCCCTACTGCTCATTCCCTATCGCCCATTCTTCGCTGCCCATCGCCCATCCCCCATCGCCCATGGCGCGTGCTGTGGTGCGAGGCAGCAAGTTCCAGGAGGTGGAAGGGCAGCGTCGCTCACTCGCTTACTGTGAGCTGCCTCCCCCTCCGCCTGCACCGCTTCGATCGCTCCACACACGTCTTGTTCAAATGCTCATGCTCATGCTCATGCTCATGCTCATGCTCATCGTGTGACGCACATGGGGCCTTGAATGGGGCATGGAGCCTGCCATGCCATGCAGCCAGCAACGCCGTGCCCACAGCACACCGTGCCCACAGCACACCGTGCCCACAGCACAGCACACTGCACATGTGCAAGCATCACTCCTAACGTCTACGCTGCTGGCATGCTGCCGTGGTGGTGGGGTGGCGTGGTGGCAGGGGGGCGGGGAGCAACAGGGGGGCGGCGAGCAGCGGAGGGGCGGGAGGGGGGGGAGCTATGGGAGTCGGCGCTGTCTTTTGACCGCCTCTTCTGCTGCGTCTGTCAGGTGAGCCGCCTCTTCTGCTGCCTCTGCCAGGTGAGCCGCCTCTTCTGCTGCCTCTGCCGGGTGAGCCGCCTCTTCTGCTGCCTCTGCCGGGTGAGCCACCTCTCTGTCGCCACTCAGTGGGTTGCTTCCCACCTGCCTGCCTGCCTGCCTGTTTGGAAGCTGTCTCTTCAATTGTTGCAATAACTCGTGCCTTGGAGCCAGATTCACCAAGGTTCCTCTTCCCATACATCTGTGCATGCATGTGTGTGTGTGTGTGTGTGTGTGTGTGTGTGTGTGTGCGTGTGTGTGTATGTTTGTATGCCCGTGCATTTGTGTGACACCTGTGTGACACCTGTGTGACACCTGTGTGACACCTATGTGTCACCTGTGTGACACCTGTGTGTCACCTGTGTGACACCTGTGTGACACCTATGTGTCACCTGTGTGACACCTGTGTGTCACCTGTGTGACACCTGTGTGTCACCTGTGTGACACCTATGTGTCACCTGTGTGACACCTGTGTGTCACCTGTGTGACACCTGTGTGACACCTATGTGTCACCTGTGTGACACCTGTGTGTCACCTGTGTGACACCTGTGTGTCACCTGTGTGACACCTGTGTGTCACCTGTGTGACACCTGTGTGTCACCTGTGTGACACCTGTGTGTCACCTGTGTGACACCTGTGTGTCACCTGTGTGACACCTGTGCACCGGTGCATGCATGCCATCCATCACCCCTATCTCACCGTACAGTGCTTTGACTGTCAGCGGCACGACAACAGCCCCAACACCACATCTAAGGTGCCCTCCCCTGCCACCCTCCCCCTGCCGCCCTCACTTGCCGCCCTCCCCTGCTCCCTCCCCTGCCGCCCTCCCCTGCTGCCCGCCTTTGCTGCCCTCCCTTGCCGCCCTCTCCAGCCAGCACGAGTTGCCAGTGACGTCTTCCCACTCGACCACCCTCGCCTTTCTTATGAGGCATCTACAGCACGTCTGGGGTTCTCACAACCAACCACGCGCCCATCCCCATGGCTGTGCTGTGCTGTGCTGGCTGGCATGGCAGGACCTCACGGCGCCCTTCAGCCCTCCCTCGCCGCCACCCCAACCACCCGCTGTGTCCTGTGGCCCGCACTGCCACGTGCTGGTATGCCATCTGCCACGTGCTGGTATGCCATCTGTCATCTGTCATTGCTACTGTGAATCCCACCCAGTCGTCAGCACCATGCACTGCTTTCCATTCCTCCTTGTGGCTCACAGTCTCTGCACTGTGCTGCTGCCCTGCATCCACTGCACCGCACCCCATCGTCTGCTATGTGTCGCTGCACCAACATCCTCGCCTCTGCCTCCTCCATGCCTCGCACATGCCTCGCCCATGCCTCGCCCATGCCTCGCCCATGCATCGCCCATGCCTCGCCCATGCCTCGCCCATGCCTCGCCCATGCCTCGCCCATGCCTCGCCCATGCATCGCCCATGCGTCGCCCATGTCTATCATGGGCTGCAGGGAGGCGGTGCTGCCAGCCACGAGGGCAGCTGGAGCGACGACGACAAGTTGATGCTTCAAATCGCATTCCCAATCTTTGAGTACAGCAGGCACGTGCATTCCTATCCCTCATTACACGTGCATTCCTATCCCTCATTACACGTGCATTCCTATCCCTCATTACACGTGCATTCCTATCCCTCATTACACGTGCATACGTGCATACGTGCATACGTGCATTACCCATTTTCGACTACAGCAGGCACGTGCAAGGCTGTCGTTCACAGCTGTGATCTAGCAGCGACGCTGGAGAGGGGCCGTCACACCTGTAGCGACATACACGCCTTGCTGCAGCGCCTTCAAGAGGTGGGAGTGCGTGGCAGTGCCAGCATGCTCTCAATGCGTGGCAGCATGCTCTCAATGCGTGCCTCACTCCAGCAATGGGCGCGAGGGGTCTCATTCCGTCCCTCCCACTCAAGGCGCCTCACTTGTCTTCCCCCATGCCTGCTGTGTCGTAGGCCTCACGTGCAGCTGGCACACGGCCCGGTGTGCCTCGCAGCCCTCTGCGCCACCCATGCTGCGTGCACCCGCCAGCGCCGGTGGCGCCACCCTCTGCTGCCGTGAAGGCGCTGCTGCAGCAGCGGTCGCACATTCCCTCCTGCCAGCTCGTGAGTGCAGCCGGCAGAGTGGTGAGTGCAGCCGGCAGATTGGTGAGTGCAGCCGGCAGAGTGGTGAGTGCAGCTGGCAGAGTGGTGAGTGCAGCCGGCAGAGTGGTGAGTGCAGCCGGCAGAGTGGTGAGTGCAGCCGGCAGAGTGGCGAGTGCAGCCGGCAGAGTGGCGAGTGCAGCCGGCAGAGTGGCGAGCGCAGCCGGCAGAGTGGTGAGTGCAGCCGGCAGAGTGGTGAGTGCAGCCGGCAGAGTGGTGAGTGCAGCCGGCAGATTGGTGAGTGCAGCCGGCAGAGTGGTGAGTGCAGCCGGCAGAGTGGTGAGTGCAGCCGGCAGAGTGGTGAGTGCAGCCGGCAGAGTGGTGAGTGCAGCCGGCAGAGTGGTGAGTGCAGCCGGCAGAGTGGTGAGTGCAGCCGGCAGAGTGGTGAGTGCAGCCGGCAGAGTGGTGAGTGCTGTTAGAATATGTTTTTGTATAACTGCATGTAGTTCTAGCTGTAGTGTAGTTATATCACTGTCCTGCTTGTGGTGCACCCCCTCCATTACGACTCTTGTATAACTTGGGCCTTTGGCCCTTTAGTGAATCATTCTCACTTTCTTGACTTTCTCCTTTACCTGAACTCTCTCGACATCCTTGGCTAGCTCACACCCTAGCCATGGCTCCTATGATTCTAACATGGTATTAGAGTGATTACGACCTTTGGGCCCACCACCTGCTGCCCTGCGCGCCGCCCTCGTGCGGCCCTCCTCTCGACGTTCGGCACGGCCCGTCCCCCGTAGCCCCTAGGCCCCGGCCCGTCGCCCCGCGCCCGTCGCCCCTAGCTCTCGGCCCCGGCCCGTCGCTCGCGCCCGTCGCCCCTAGGCCCGTCGCCCCTCGGCCCGTCGCCCCTAGGCCCCAGCCCCTAGCCCGTCGCTCGCGCCCGACGCCCCTAGGCCCCGGTCTCGGCCCGTCGCCCGTCGCGCGTCGCCCCTACGCCCGTCTCCCCTAGACTCCGGCCCCCGGCCTGTCGCTCGCGCCCGCCGCCCCTAGGCCCGTCGGCCCCGTCGCCCGTCGCTCCCCTAGGCCCGGCCTCGTCGCTCGACGCCCCTAGGCCCCGGCCCCTAGCCCGTCGCCCCTCGGCCCGTCGCCCCTAGGCCCCGGCCCCGGCCCGTCGCCCGTCGCCCGTTGCCCCTCGGCCCGTCGCCCCTAGGCCGGCCCGTCGCCCCTAGCACGTCCCGTAGGCCCGTCGCTCCTAGCCCGGCCCGTCGCCCCTAGCCCACGCGCCCCGGCCCGTCGCCCGACGCCCCTACGCCCGCGACTGACGCCCCTCCGCCCCCCCTTCTCCTCCATCCCCCTGCTGCGGGTGCAGCAGTGGGGGGGGGGGGGGGGTATGGGGGTGGTGGGCTCTTGGAGGGTAAGGGGGTGGCCGGAATGGACCTGCAGCACCAGCCCCCCCTGCCCCCCCCCCTTTCTCCTCCATTCCCCTGCTGCGGGTGCAGCAGTGGGGGGGAGGGGATCTGCAGCACCAGCTCCCCAGCCCCCCTTTTCTCCTCCATTCCCCTGCTGCGGGTGCAGCAGTGGGGGGGAGGGGATCTGCAGCACCAGCCCCCCCGCCGCCCCCCCCCTTCTCCTCCATCCCCCTGCTGCGGGTGCAGCAGTGGGGGGGAGGGGATCTGCAGCACCAGCCCCCTCCCCCCCCCCTTCTCCTCCATCCCTTTGCTGTGGGTGCAGCAGTGGGGGGAGGGGATCTGCAGCACCAGCCCCCCCGCCCCCCCCCTTTCTCCTCCATCCCCCTGCTGCGGGTGCAGCAGTGGGGGGGAGGGTATGGGGGTGGCGGGTGTGAGTGAACTGCTGCCGCCTCTCCTCTCTCTCCCACTGCTGCACATGCCGCTGTGGGGAGGGGGGGGGAGGGTGTGGGGGAGTTGAGGGAGTGGCAGTAGGGATGCTGAGAGGTGTGACAGGGAGGTTTTGGGGAATGGGGGAAGTTGTAGGGGGGTGGGCGCAGTGAAGCCAGCAGCTCCAGTCGCCCGTGAGACCGTTGCGCCAGTTGCCCGTGAGGCCGTTGCTCCTGTAGCCCGTGAGTCAGTTGTTCCTGCCGCTCGCTTAGCCGCAAAGCCAGTTACTCCAGTTGCTCGTGTGCCAGTTGCTCTATTTGCCAGTGTGCCAGTTGCTCCAGTTGCCCGTGTGCCAGCAGCTTCAGTTGCCACCCACCACCTCCTCTCCTCTCATGGTCCCTCCTCTTTGCTTGCCCTCTCCTTCCTCCACTGCGCTTGGTGTACCCCTTCAGGGGGTGTTATGCACATGGCTATTCCTGCATGCAGTTAGGGGGTGTGTCAGAATATATTTCTGTATAACTGCATGTAGTTCTAGCTGTAGTGTAGTTATATCACTGTCTTGCTTGTGGTGCACCCCCTCCTTACTTGTCTCTTGTATAACTTGGGCCTTTGGCCCTTTAGTGAATCATTCTCACTTTCTCGACTTTCTCTTTTGCCTGAACTCTCTCGACATCTTTGGCTAGCTCACACCCTAGCCATGGCTCCTATGATCTAACAAGTGCAGTCGGCAGAGTGGTGAGTGCAGCCAGCAGAGTGGTGAGTGCAGCCGGCAGGGCGGTGAGTGCAGCCGGCAGGGCGGTGAGTGCAACGGTGCTGCTGGGAGGTGTGTGGCGGTGTTTGCAGCAGTGTTTCAACAACACACATGGCTGAATCCCAATGCCCTGTGCACACTTGATGCACCCCATCCTTCCGCCCACCCATTGTGACCCCCCTGGCCCCTCGTGCCTGGCAGGAGGCATACACTCCATGTGCGTGTGTGGGGGAGTGCGCGCGGGGCAGCTGTGACTGCCGCAAGATGAACGTGCTGGTCAGACATGCGGGAAGCTTCACACTCAACACTGCTGCTTCTCCCGCCTCGACGACGCTTGGCGTGCTGAGTTTGGTGACGACTTCGAGCTCCCTCGCTAAGCAGATCTATTTAGGTCTAGGATTGCTATCTTTGACCTACACTTTGATGCTATTCTTTCTTCTATGTATGCTTTGTCTGTTAGTGCTGAGGGTGACTGTTACCGGTGTGTGCCGCCTGACCCTGGTATAGCTGCTGCTGCTCTAGGTGCTAGTGAGTCTAGTAATCTCCCTGGTACTGCGCCTGCTAAGGCCTTGCACACCATCATGTTCGACTCAGGCGCCTCGCGCTGTTTCTTTCGTGACAGCACCACTCTCACTCCTCTCCCTGCACCTGTCCCGGCCAGACTGGCTGACCCCTCTGGGGGCCCGGTCGTCGCCCATTCCTCCACTGTCCTCCCCTATCCGGCGGTTCCGTCCGGCTCACTGTCAGGTCTTCACCTCCCCGCGTTCTCTACGAACTTGGTGAGTACCGCTGCCCTCCAGGATGTGATGGTCACTACCACCACTCCGGGGGGTCAGCGTGTGTCGATCTGCACGTGCACACGGACGGGGCGTCACCTGGCCACGTTCACTCATCGGCCAGGATCGAGTCTGTACACACTGGCTACTGAGCCTCCTCAGGTAGTTGCGTCTGCTCAGGTGTCTGCGTCAGGTCAGGTAGCTGCCTCTTGCTCGTGTCGCCTCCTGTCGCAACAGACTCTTCTGTGGCACCACCGCCTGGGTCACCCCTCCCTGCCACGCCTTCATGGCATGCACTCTCGTCTTCTTGTCTCTGGTCTTCCCAGGTCTCTTCCTCCCCTCCCGCCCTCGCCTGCCCCGCCCTGCCTTCCTTGCGTCGAGGGGCGGCAGCGCGCCGCTCCTCACTCCTCCTCGTTTCCCCCGACGTCTGCTCCCCTGCAGACTCTCCACATGGATGTGTGGGGCCCAGCCCGCGTCAGTGGACAGGGCCGCGAGCGCTACTTTCTGATAGTAGTTGACGACTACACGCGGTACACCACAGTCTTCCCCTTGCGCAGCAAGGGTCAGGTCGTTGATGTCTTCATCCCTTGGATTCGCACAGTCCGTCTCCAGCTCCGCGAGCGGTTCCACGAGGACCTTTCTGTCCTGCGTCTGCACTCTGACAGAGGTGGTGGGTTCTCCTCCAACCTCTTGCGGGACTTTTGTCATTGGGAGGGCATTCTCCAGTCGTTCATGCTTCCGGACTCCCCTCAGAAAATTGGGATTGCTGAGCGCCGCATTGGCTTAGTCATGGAGGTCGCTCGTACCTCCATGATCCATGCGGCTGCTCCCCATTTTCTGTGGCCGTTTGCGGTCCGGTACGCTGCGCATCGGCTCAACCTCTGGCCTCGTGTCTCCTTGCCGGAGACCTTGCCCACACTGCGTTGGATGGGGGTTCGCGATGCTTCGGTGTTCCGGGTCTGGGGTTCTCGTGCCTTTGTTCGTGATACGTCCGCGGACAAGCTCTCCGCCCGCGCTATCTCCTGCGTCTTCCTTGGCTTTGTCCCTGACGCACCTGGCTGGCAGTTTTACCACCCCACCTCGCGCCGTGTCCTCCCTTCTCATGACGTCACGTTTGACGAGTCGGCTCCCTTTTACCATCTCTTCCCCTACCGCCCTGCCCCTCCCCCGCCCCCACCGCTCTTCCTTGCTCTTGGTCCCCCTTCGGTAGACCCTCTCCCGCCCGAGGGTCCTGCTCCCTCCGGTGTGTCTCACGTAGACCCTCTCCTTGGTACTGCGCCTGTCGAGGTAGCTTTCGGCCCAGGTGCTGCTCCAAGTGCTGCGTCTGGGGGTGCTGCGTCTGGGGGTGCGGAGCCGGGGGGTGCGGGGTCTGAGAGTGCTGGGTCACGGGGTGCTGAGCCTAGGGGTGAGGAGCCTGGGGGTGCAGAGCCTGAGGGTGTTGAGCCTGGGGGTGTTGAGTCGGAGGGTGCGGAGTCTGGGGGTGCTGAGAATCGGGGTGCTGCTTTGTCTGGAGGTCCTGCTGGTGTTTTGCCACGACTGTCTCCGCAGCAGCTGCGTGAGTGGCTTGTTCGGCGCGCACGCCTTCGGAGTGGAGCTACCGGAGCTGGAGCGCTGGAGACGCTGGAGCTGGAGGTGCTGGAGTTACTGCTGGAGCTGGTGGTGCTGGAGGTGCTGCGCCTGCTGGTCCTGGAGGTGCTCGTACCAGGGGTGCTGGAGCTGTCGGGACTGGTGGTGTTGGGGGCGCTAGAGCTGGAGACCCTACGGAGCCTAGAGCTGCTGGAGCTGAAGGCTCTTGCGCTGGTGGTGCTGGAGCTGGAGGAGCTGGAGTTGGAGGCACTGGCGCGGGAGGCGCTGGAGCTGCGGGAGCTAGAGCTGTTGACCCTGGAGCTGGGGTTGCATGAGGCACTGTGCGGCCGCGACCGTACTTCGTTCCCCTGCTTCAGCAGGTTCTTGGTACCCCATCTTCTACTAGCCTTATTCCTCCCCTCCAGTGTCCACCGCCCGACCAGTCGCAGCCGCTGTTACTGTCAGCCTCCCCACTGCCTGCTCCTTCTCCTTACACTGCGCAGTCCGGCGGTCTTATAGAGCGTCGTGAGCCTGCGTCTCGTCCTCTCTCGCCTGTTCGCACTGCTCGTCACGTTCCTTGTTCGCGTCCTCCTCCTGTCCCTGGCACGCACGCTATGGCGCTCCGTTCTTCCTCAGATCCACTGCGTGTTCCTCTGCCTGCTCCTCCTGAGTCCTCTCTTCCTGAGGTCCCTGACCCTGAGTCTGACCGCGCTCGTGCTGCTAGTCCCACTGTCTCTCGTCTCCTCGCCATTGCTGTCACTGACCCTTCTTTTGAGTCTGCTGCTGCATCTGCTCTCGTTGCTGAGCTGCTTCACTTTGCTGCTGCCTGCCGTCTAGACTACGCCACTGCTCTTGTTGCTGAGTCTGCGTCTGCCAGTCCTCCGTCCATCGGAGGTGAGTGTGCTCTTAACACGGACGTCCTTGAGGACAGGCAGTAGGACTTTAAGTGTCTTGCAGCTGCTGTACCTCGTTTCGCTTCCATGCTGCTTGCCCCTGAGGGAGACCTAGATGCACCAGACATCCCGACCCCGCGCTCTTACGCAGAGGCGATTACGGGTCGTTACTCCTCTCAATGGCAGATAGCCATGGATGCCGAGATGGCATCGTGGAAGTCCACATGCACCTACGTCGACGAGGTTCCCCCACCGGAGGCGAACATAGTCGATGGCATGTGGATCTTCGGGGTGAAGCGGCCGCCGGGTTCTACGCCTGCCGTCAAGGCGCGTTACGTTGCTCGAGGCTTCTGTCAGCGATAGGGAGTTGACTTATTCCAGACCTTCTCCCCCACCCCGAAGATGACTACTCTTCGGGTGTTGCTGCACGTTGCTGCTCAGCGTGACTACGAGTTCCACTCTCTGGACTTCAAAACAGATTTCCTGTAGGGCAGCTGCACGAGGAGATTTGGCTGCGCCGCCCTCCTGGCTTCACTGGGTCGTTTCCTGCAGGTACCCAGTGAAGCCTCCGCCGGCCAGTCCACGGTCTCCGCCAGGCGCCTTGCGAGTGGCACGACACGCTGAGGACTACACTTGCGGCTCTTGGGTTTGCTCCTTCTACTGCTGACCCGTCGCAGTTTCTCCGCACCGACACCTCGCTGCCGCCGTTCTACGTCCTCGTGTACGTAGACAACCTCGTCTTTGCCACTGCTGACACAGAGGCACTGACCCTTGTGAAGTCGGAGCTGCAAAAGAGACAAACCTGCACTGACCTGGGTGAAGTGCGCAGCTATCTTGGCTTGCAAATCACCCGGGACAGAGCACGGCGCACCATCACACTGACTCAGTCACACATGGTGCACCAGGTCCTTCAGCGCTTCGGCTTCCAGTTCTCCTCGCCACAGCCCACTCCTCTGTCTACCGGCCACTCGCTCTCAGCTCCACCTTCGGACGAGTCCGTAGAGCCGAGTGGTCCGTACCCAGAGC